AATTTTAAATTATATATTTTATATTTATATACTATTACTATTATTATTTATGTTTATTCATTCCATCTTGCGCCATCCACCACCTTCTGTCTTTTCTCCTCTACCCAAAGATTGTCAGGAAGAGATCACTTAAGCGACCGCATTTTGTATCTACATAGTATGAATATTGTTTTTTTGTATTTTTTTAAATGCAATAAAGAGTTTTTAAATAAATAAAAAAAATTAATAAACTATTACTACTAATTCTAAATCAGTATTTTAATGTATAAAATCTACAATCTCCCAGTTAGGTTTATGTTACTAAGAAAAAAAGTTTCTATTGTCTACTTATATGGGATTTAATGGGAGGAATAATAGTTTTTACTTGTATCTGCAACCTTTCATTTATCTGTCTGTAATTCTTCAATTATTTTGTTTTACTTGGTTTTATTTTTCCCACTCGCCCTCTATCGTTCATTGAAACTGTAAGGTAAGCTGCATTAGATAGCTTGCAAAGGCTGCATTAGAGTAGTCCGAAAAAAACCCTATCATCCTCCACTGGTTCCCCGACAGTGTCTACCATTCGCGCAGACGGATCTACGGGATGTGCCATCCATATATGCACATCCAATATAACCAATCCATATTAACCAATAAAACACGATATATGCGGATACGGATTTCCGGATTATAATTGTATCACATCACTAAAGCTCTCCCTATAAAAAAATAACAGTTTCTATTTAATCTATGCTAATGGTCGACCTTGCTTTTCTATCAAATATGGCTGCTTTTGTTTTCATTAACACGGTGCTTTTTAGTTGTTATTTTGAAACTTTCTCGATTAATTGCACATTATTTTTTAAGATAAATATAGTCAATAAATTAAGGAAGGATTCCGATTAGGAAAGATCATTTAAATATGCAAACAGATATAATCGTAATTTATTATTGAGTGACATTAAAAATCATAGATACATTCTTTTTTATATTAACAAATGTTAATAGCCAGTAAGGCACCATAACTTCACGTATCTATTCTAGATGGCACAAACTAATATTATTTTATGTCAAATATAGATATTTACATCGTGACTGTTCTTGGATGGTTTTTATATATCAAAATCCTATTTTTTATTTTAATGTTTGCAGAGGATTTATTACGATTAGGAAACACGGAACTTATTATTTTAATATTTAACACATAAGTGTACGCCATGATTTTTTACGTATTTTTTTTTAATAATGCTTTATTTAAGGCCATGGATACAAGTCCTTCAGTCGAATATTTTTTTTACGTATAATCTGCAATGTTGCCATATTATGTCTGGGATTAACAGTACAATAAATATTATTTATCAACAGTGACCACGACCGTATGCTTGTTTACCACCATTGTAGTATAAAAAAACGTCGAGCACTGCCAAGTTTTGTAAAATCATTTTGTTAATGAATATTCCAAAAATAAATCCATACAATTGTTTCGTCTAAATTAAAAGTACCTACTGTACATAAAATACAAATGATTGATCCGTGTGAGATATCGAACCCGCGACCATTCGAAATAAGGTGTTGTGCTGGACCGAAATTTCGAATATTTCAAACTAATTCAAATTCAAAAATAATATATTCAAGTTGGTACGTTTTAGCCACATATGTCAAGTTTTTTTGTTATTTTTTTTACCGTCCAGTTCAGTATACATATTCAATTGATAAGAACTGGCAAGAAACTGAATGAAATTCTTTTTTTAAAAGCCTTATTTACATTGTACATAAGTAAGTAATATTAATATTTTTTTTTAAAGTAGTTTTCTTAAAATGTTTAGTGGTGTTCTTAAATACTTAGACATGTTAAATTAAAATACAATTAAGGGGGCATGTTGAATGAACATAGAGGTCATATACATAATTGTATTTGAGTAATAAATTCTGTCATTGTTAAAAAAATATATTGATAGATTAAAAGTTACGTTTGACATCATGTTCGTAACTTATTAAAAATATCCATTATAACCTAGGTCATTTCACTCAGGATATCTCCCAGCTCAACATGTCTAACATTAGAAAATCCTATATGAAAATCCCGTGTATGAACAACTATTGGAACGTTTGTAACCGTTTTATGTAATGAAGGATGTAATTGTGTCGCAACATTAAGATAGAGGCGATAATCAGCACTATTTGGGGGCCGTGAAACTGATGCTAATTGATACGACTTACGTAATAGGAACCAAGTAACGAATCACTTACTAGCTCATCTGACGTTGATAATAATAACCCTGGACAATTCACACAGCGCCATCTAGTCCCAAGTTAAGTTGAGATACTACTAGACTACTGATATAAATATTTTTTAAAGTAAACATTAAAATATTGTTAATACTAAAACTCTAGCATTATCTTTGCCCGTTAACTGCCACCTATATCATAGCGTTAGGTTGGCTGGAAGAGATTTCTTATGAGCCCACGCTTACTCACATTTTTGTATAATTATCTTTATTTATTACCGTGGCCGTCAGACTGACTTCATACACATTTTGGTGTTAATTGCTTTGTGGCTGCAATTTTTAATTCAAGTCACTTCATACAGCTATATTTAAAACTACACAGATAAACGAGAACGAATGAAATGACGAAATGTCACTTCATACAGCTAAACATGAAGCAATGGCTGTATGGGCGCAGTTCCCTTTGCCTATAAAGGATAAAGAAAATAAAAAAAAAAAAAAAAAAAAAAAAAAAAAAAAAAAAAAAAAAAAAAAAAAAAAAAAAAAAAAAAAAAAAAAAAAAATGAAAAAAGCGCGGGAAACGTTCGAAACGCCGGGAGTGTTTTTTGGATTTCTTTTTGTTTAATTTAATTTTACTATATATAAGGATTAGTTTTATTTATATATTGTAGACTAGATTAATTGTTTAATTATATATTTATTAATAGTAGTAGCAGTTGCTGCAAATATTGGTAAGTAACTTTAATATATAATATCTATTGAGAATGGACCCGCCTATAGACCCTGGGGGAACAGTCCCCCAGGTGTCTGCAAATATAAGTATTCCATTTAACAATTCTTTTGATATTTTATGTGAATCTAGTATGGATACTGATGGGTCTAATATTACAACCACAAAACGTAAGCGAGTAAGGGGCGAACGCCGCATTTGCAAACACTGCAATAAAAAGCGTAGGAGACATCAAAAAGGTACCGAGACAAAATTAAAAGACGGTGACTGTCAATGTGTCGAAGAGGAAAAAAATAATTTAGAAATAATACCTGTAATTGACAATCAAAATTCAGATGTAATACCAGTAGTTGAAAATAATAATACATCCAAAAAAGCCACTCCTTCACCCACTTCTGTAAATAGGACTTTGTACAATACTGAAGATGTAGCACCTTTTGTAGTTCATGTTAAAAAAAATGAAACAAATCCTACAGATAATGTAACATTACACCCCATCGCATTTGGTCGGTTTTTACATACAAATAAGATTTATAATGTTGTGAATGGCAGCCTCAAAAGAATAGGAAGAAACAGATTGGCTCTTGCTTTTTCAAACTTTTTAGATGCTAACTCTTTTTTAAACCACAGTAGTTTAATTGCCTATAATTATAATGCATTTATTCCTTCTTTTAATGTGACCCGCATGGGTATTGTAAGAGGTATTCCTAAAGACTGGACAGATGATGAAGTAATTAGCAATATTTCAGTACCTATAGGTTGTGGAAAAATTTTAAAAATACGTAGAATAAAAAAAAAGACTATAAATGAGGGAGAAACGAACTTTATTAACACTGAAACAGTTGTTATAACATTTGATGGGCAAATTTTGCCAAAAAGAGTATTTATGTTTTATACATCATTAACTGTAGATCTATACATTTATCCAACCATACAGTGCTACAATTGTTGTAGATTTGGACATGTTAAGATGCAGTGTCGTTCAAATCCAAGGTGTTATAAGTGCAAACAAAGTCATACTGGTGATAAATGTGAAGCAGATGAAGACAGCATATGCTGTATTCTATGTAATGGTTCTCATTTCGCTATTAGTAAGAAGTGTCCTGAATATTCCCGCCAAAAAGCTATTAAAGAAACCATGGCTCACAGCTGTGTTTCATATGCTGAAGCTATGAAATTTCATCCTCCAATCAGTAAATTATACTCAGATGTATTAACATCGCCACCACCTTCACCTATTAAACCACATATCCAATCTTCTCCACAAAAAGACAAATCAGGCCATATTCAATCTTCTTATAAAAAAACTGTTACACTTAAACCACGTTCTCCACAGAAACCACAACGAGGATATGATCGTTCTGCTCATGAGGCCTTAATTAATGAATATAACATTCCTGCGCCCTCAAATGGCTGTGCACTAAGTAATAATAATAATACTAATAATCAATCTGTTGCTGATATTATATTTATGTTAATTAAATTCTTGACGCAATCTAATATGACACAAACCAATTTTTCACCGTCCAACGCTGCCAACCTGAATGTTATATCTCAAATTTTATCAACTCACAATGGACAACAAAGCCCACATTATTCAGTGGAACTGTCGTAGCATAACAAATAAGAAATCTGATCTATTTTATTTGATAAACAATTTCTCCCCTTTCATTATAGCTCTTCAAGAGACATGGTTAAAACCTGGATATTCATTTAAGATTCCAGTAGGTCTACCACGAAAGTTACTGCCGATTATCGCGTAACGAAACGAAAGACGACCGAAATACTAGTTTAAAGGAACCATGAAGTTTCTTCGGAATAAGATATTTCGGACGGGTACCATAGACTATGATCGTGAACGAATGAAAGATGAGAGGTCTTTTATTATACACTCTTAAATTAGGAAAAAAATAAAGTGGTATACTCCGGATAAAATAAAATGTACAGTCGTTTATATTTAAATGTATTGAAATTATAAACTTCTAAAATTAGTAGTATTTTATGTCATAAGAAAACGTCAAACCTCTATTTACATTTGAATTTTTGTTTTTATTTTTTTATATATAAACTTAAGAATTATCATCACAAGTGTTTTTAAATAATTTTTTATTGCTAAATTTGTTCGTTAAACATCAATGAAAATGAACATGTAATAACTTTGATTTTATTTATTAGTTTCTATTTATGACAAGCGCTAACAAATGTATTTATGCATTTAGATGAGTAATCCCACTGTGGAACAAGTGCATACACTCCTAACATTCCTAGCAGAGCACCAGGAGTTAGCTCGTGGCCACTGTAGAAATGCAGAAGGGCGAACAAGATCCACCCAATTATGGGTTCGTCTCACAGACGAACTCAATGCATTGGGTGGATGCACTAAAACTGTAAAGCAGTGGCAGAAGGTAAGCACTTTTCTTGATATTTTAGTACGTGATATGCATTTAAAATGTTAAATAATTTTGTTATTAAATAAAATTTTCCAATACTGATACTTTATAAATTTTATAAATTTTAGGTATGGGCTGACAAAAAATATCTAACTAAAAAAGCTGCTACTGCTGCTCGAAGGTCTGCCACAGCCACTGGGGTAGGGCCATCATCTGCTGATCCTTTAAACCCAATACAGTGCAGAATATTGGGTATTATGGGAGAGGGCTTTGGAGAACCTCAGTCGGATGCACATGTTCCTGCATTTCCAGAGGTATGTTGTAAAACCATTACTAAAATAGTGCTAACTGTTATCTCTAGACATATATAACATAATGGATGTCATCAAAATACATGGTGACTTCCATAGTATTCCTCATGCATTACCATTCCTTTTATTTCTGTATATAAGGTACCTAAATAGCCTTTTCCCACCTTTCAAACTGAAATACAGCTATGCAAGAACAGCTGCTTCATAGCAGAAATATGAGTTGAGACAGAGTTGGTACCTTTTTATATATACACAGTTTTTCAATGTTAACTAAGA